GTCGAGACGAGGTTACTTTTTTTTGCTTGCCAAACGGCGCATTGCTTGGCTAAGCTTAGGGTCGCTCACAAAGTCAGCAGCACCTCGAATTAAGTCTTGAGTTTCTGTGCTTAGCGATCTTGAAATAGATTGTATCTTTGCGGGTGTTTGAGAGGGGATTCTCAAACGAACTTGGAGTTTTTGTAGGTCTTTAAACTCATCAAGTTCCGACAGTTGTGCAATATATTGTTTTTGAAGGTAACCAAGTTGACTAATCATCGCTTGATTTTCGCCGGTAATCGTCAAAATACCATATTGATAACAAACAACCTGCCACTGCTCTGGTTGCGGTAGGATAGGTTGAATCAGTTTTGTAAGTTTCTGCCATGCAGTCACTTGCTTTGAGAGAAACGTTAAGTTTCCTGTTTTTATGTGTTTTCTGGTTTGTTGAAAGAGATTCACTGGTTCGGACATACATATTTCCTTCATGTTAATGTCTTAATCTTATGCGCTTCTTTCGGTAGATATCAAGGACGAGATCACGCAAGAAACATTCGTAAGAACAGTTTTAAGAGGTTTTTTATGCATATGCGACGTATTTTGTTGGCTTTTTCTTTTGCGGCATCGGCTGCTTCAGTAGCCTTCGCTGATTTGGTAGAACTCAATACAAATAATGCTTCTTCGGATCGAATTGAGCAATTGACACGCACTTTATCGGAAGGTGCTTATACTGAATCGAATGATATTGATATCCCTGCCGAAACGAAAATGTCCGTGAAATTACGTGAGAAAACGGTTGAACTCAACAACGCTTCACTGGCGAAAAAATACGGTTCGGAATCCTCTGCAAAAAGTTTTTCAAATAATCCATATTCGTGGTTAGTGACACACCCACTTCCAAGCGCACGTGTTAGCTCAAGTTACGGCGGCCGAACCATGAATGGTCGTGCTGAGCGTCACTCAGGTCTAGATCTTGCTGCGCCAAGCGGTACACCGATTTATGCGACAGGTCCAGGGATTGTGACCAAGTCTGGTTGGGGTACAGGTTATGGTCAATATGTTGAAATTAACCATGGTAACGGGTATATCACACGTTATGCACATGCTTCACGTTTAATCGCTCGTGTTGGCGACCGTGTAGACGCTGGTGAGCATATTGCCAATGTGGGCTGTACAGGTCGTTGTACTGGCCCACATTTACACTATGAAGTAGTTAAAGATGGTCAACGCAAAAACCCATCGACTTATCTAGCAATGTTGCCTTAATCCCGATTTGATCGATGATCCGAACTTACCGTTGGTCTGATGCTTGAAAAAGGAATACGGCTCTGACGAAATCTAAGTTAGCATTAAAAAATAGCATTAAATGTATAAAAAACCGCCTAAGTTGGCGGTTTTTTGTTATCTTGGGTAACGAATGGTCAATGACTATTTAGTTGCTAAATAGTAGGGCTCAGCCATATTCAGCTGTAGCGATACTCTTATAGGACGAAAGTATGATACATATTAGCGTATAAGATTAGGATATCGAAATAGGTGAATTATGGCGTTTTATGGTGATACTGACGCGCAAGAAACGCAAGAGTGGCAAGATGCGTTTGACTCCGTTTTACAACACATGGGGACTGAGCGTGCAGCTTTTCTACTGGAAAAACTGTATCAACAAGCAATCGCTAAACATGTCCCTATTCAGCGATTAAATACGCCTTATTTAAATACAATTTCAGTGGCTGAAGAACCTGCAATGCCAGGCGATCAAGACATGGAGCGTCGTATCCGTGCGTTGATTCGTTGGAATGCGCTAGCGATGGTACTCCGTGCCAATAAAACGGGTGATGACTTAGGTGGTCACTTGGCAAGTTTCGCATCTTCAGCAACATTATATGATGTCGGTTTTAACCACTTTTTTCGTGCCAATAACGACAACTTTGGCGGGGACATGATTTATTATCAAGGTCACTGTGCGCCAGGTATTTATGCGCGTTCGTTCCTTGAAGGTCGTTTGACTGAAGAGCATCTAAACAATTTCCGTCGCGAAGTGGACGGTGTTGGCTTACCTTCTTATCCGCATCCATACTTAATGCCTGATTATTGGCAGTTCCCAACGGTATCGATGGGTCTTGGCCCAATCATGTCGATTTACCAAGCGCATATTCAAAAATATTTGATGAACCGTGGTTTGATTAAAGAAGAAAATCGCAAAGTTTGGGCATACCTTGGCGATGGCGAGATGGATGAGCCAGAAAGCACAGGTGCAATTTCACTTGCGGGTCGTGAAAAATTAGACAATCTCATTTGGGTTGTAAACTGTAACTTACAGCGTCTAGATGGCCCAGTACGTGGTAACGGTAAAATTATTCAAGAACTTGAATCCTTATTCCGTGGTGCGGGCTGGCGTGTCATTAAAGTGGTTTGGGGCCGTCATTGGGACCCGCTACTTGCAAAAGACAAAACTGGTGCTTTAAAGTCGGTTATGGAAGAAACACTGGATGGCGAATACCAACGCTTACAAGTGAAGGGCGGTGCATATGCACGCGAAAAATTCTTTGG